AATGGAGAATTGAAGAATGGAGAATGGAATGGAAAATGGAAAACTGGAGAATGGAGAACTGGAGAATGGAGAACTGGAGAATGGAGAATCGGAGAATGGAGAATGGAATGGAGAATTAAGAACTGAAGAGTGGAGAATGGAACGGAGAATGGAAAATTGGAGAATGGAGAACTGGAGAATGGAAAATGCAGTGGAGAATTGGAGAGTGGAGAATTGGAGAATGTAGAATGGAATGGAGAATTGAGAATTGGAGAATTGGAGATTGGAGAATGGAATGGAGAATGGAGATCTGGGGAATGGAGAATGGAGAACTGGAGAATGGAGAATAGAATGGAGAATAGAGAACTAGAAAGTGAGAATGGAATGGAGAATGGAGAACTGGAGAATGGAGAATGGAATAAAGAATGGAGAACTGGAGAATGGAGAATGGAATGGAGAATGAAGAACTGGAGAATGGAGAATGGAATCGAGAATGGAGTGGAGAATGGAGAATGGAATGGAGAAAGGAATGGAGAATGCAGAATGGAATGGAGAATGGAATGGAGAACGGAGAATGGAATAAGAATGGAATGGAGAATGGAACAAAAATGGAAYGGAGAATGGAGAATGGAATGGAGAATGGAACAGAGAATGGAACAGAGAATGGCGAATGGAACGGAAAATGGAACGGAGAATTGAGAATGGAACGCAGAATGGAACAGAGAATGGAGTATGGAACGGGGAATGAATCAGAGAATGGAGAATGTAATGGAGAATGAAAAGGAGAATGGAGAATGGAAACAGATGTAGGAATGAATGTGTGGGACTGTGGGAAGTATGCCTGACAGTCAGGTGTTTGGAACAGAATGTGTGGGCAAACCAGACAGCAGCTTCCTAATTGAGAAGACTTCCCGTTGGGCATCATTCAGTAGATTTTAGGGTATGCATAGTGTCAGTTAAGTTTCTGACCCAATTAAGAGGAAGTCAGTTAAAAGAGCTTCTAATGTAAATAAAGCAAATTTGCAATAAGAACATGTCTGCCCTCTAATCGTTTGTGTATAAAATGGCTGCCCTCTCCTCTGCAGAGCTATCTGCTTCTACACTTTCATGGTTTTTCAATATTGATAATTTATTTTTAAATAAAAATGGTGAAGTATATATATTTTTTCTTTCAAAAGCCATTACTTCCAAAGCTCACATCACAAGAAAAAGTAGCAACTTTTTATGCTTATTTTATCTTCTTTTCTGTTGATGCTTTTCTCCACAATACAGTTTTCTGTCATGAGAAAGTTCCAACATTACTATCTCTGCTTGAACCCCTCAGAGAGAGATACGTGTATACATACTTATGTATGTTAGTAATTTGTGATTGATATTCTTCACATATAGACTTGATTTGTTGTTTAATACAGCCTTCTGTCTTTAGGAATCATATTAAACTGTTTCTTCACTGTATGGCTGATTATAATCTGTGATTAGTAAGCACGGTTTTATTTGCAGTTATTTGAAACTTCATTTTACTTATAGGACCTGATTAATGCACTCCAAACATGAAATCAGTATATCCTGCCCTGTTCTTTGTTTTAAATACATCTGTCATTTTCTGCCTGACATTATATTTTTTATTTGAAGTTGTTTGCTTCTTATTTTCAAATAAAATAATTTTTAATAATATTATTTTTCAATTTTTCCTCAGTAGACCGCTCCAACGAACAGCCCTTTACTCTCAGTGGTTTATAGCAACAGAGGTTTATTTCTTGCTGACAAAAGTATGGGCTGCCAGAAGCTATGACTCTATCCACAGCTTGGCTCCACATGGCATCTGAAGATACAGCCCTTATCAGGGACATGTGTTCTCCTGGCAGAGGGGAAAGAGAGCAGCAGCCAAAACATGATGGCATTTAAAGCTTCCACTTGGACATGGTTCACTTTGCTTCCATTCACATTTCATTAGTTAGTGCAAGTCACCTGGTCAAACTTGTCAGGTATACCCACTCCCCAAAGGAAGCTTTCTGAGTTATGTAGCAAGTTAGGATAGTCCTCTTACTGGGAGGAGAGTGAACAAATAGGAATCCTATGGTCTATTAACATTTATATTTTATTTTTATTTTTATTTATTATTTATCTGTTTTTAAGATGGAGTTTTGCTCTTATCACCCAGGCAAGAATTCAGTGGTGCAATCTTGGCTCACTGCAACCTCCACCTCCCGGGTTCAAGCGATTCTCCTGCCTCAGCCTCCTGAGTAGCTGGGATTACAGGCACCCATCACCATACCCAGCTAGCGAACGTGTGTGTGTGTGGGTGTGTTTGTGTGTTTAGTAGAGATGGGATTTTGCCATGTTGGGTAGACTGGTCTCAAACTCCTGACCTCAGGTGATCCACCTGCCTCGGCCTCCACAGTGCTGGAATTATAGGTGTGAGCCACCACACCCAGCCAGTTATGTCTTAAAGACTTTTAAAGGTTTTATTGTTGGATTAGAGATACATTTTGTGAATTTTAATGTGGAAATGATTTTTTCTTGATGTTTTTCAATGTTGTATATTGAGCTCTATAGAAATATTGATACACAGGTTAAGACTAATTCAGGAGTATAGTAAAGAAGATTTATATGAGAGGATATTAAATATGAAATCCTTACTATTTCATTCTGTTTTCTTTTTTGAACTTTAATCACCTGTCTTTTACTTCTATTGATTACTGGATAGCAGTTCAGAGACTTTTTTTCCTCCACACTGGTATAAATTGTTCATTTGTAAGCCCTTGCATTGTTTTGAAGATAATTTCCTTTTACATGGATTACACATTAGTCATGTTAGCTGGATAGTGTGGATTTTCACAATTTACTACCTTTTCAATACAGTGAATTGTGCCTTTGCCAATTTCACCATCATGGTTTTTCTTACAGTGTCCACATGTGGATAGCAGCCTGCCGACAAGTAAAACAAAAACTGAGTTAAACGACATACAGATACAGCTGAAATACCAAATTACCCATGGCCTCTCCTGGACTTATATTTATTTGCACACAGTGGGGGCTAGTATTTCCTTATGAAACAAGAAACTTTTACTGTTTTGAAATAGCAGAGCTGAACCTCAGATGCATGAGTCATTAGGATAGATTTATCCTAGTGAGGCATGGCACTTGAAAAGAGACAAAGGGTAAATTATCAGAGAAAGTTGAGGTGTACACATAATGCCTAACGTGGAAGGGTGATAGGGAATTTGAAAATTTGTTGTATCTCCTAGATATCTAGGAGTAAATGTTTCTGTGTAGTGATAGAAGCAGAAATAATTAGACTGGAAGGCATCTTGAGTTCATTTGGTCCTAACCATTACCACAATACAGAAGTAGTCACATTGATAAAATCTTATTAAAGCATGGCTTATGTTACTCTACGTAATTTTGTAGAATGGGCCTTTCAACCTTACAAGGTTGCATATTCCAGCTTTTCATAGGAATACTAGTTAAGTATTTCTCTTAATTCCATGCCATGCTTTGTTTTAGTAGGTTGAGGTCTGAGAGGGAAAGCAGTAATCAGATCAGCCTGTATATATACTTTTCCTTTTAAATTAATTAACTAGACTCTCCTAAAGATGAGTTTATTTCATTTGTAATTGTATCTAGCTCTAGAAGGCATGAGATTATAAAGTCCAACTCCGTCCTTTTATAGATAAAATAAGATTTCCGATGATAAGAGGCTTCCCCAGGGTGACAGAGCCTCAGAGTGACCAAGCCAAAGCCAGAAGATAATCTTGATTAAGTGTTCTTCCTGTCATATGCCACCTGTAAGGAGCTACTCTAAGAATATATTAATATCAGATGTAGCTAGGCAGTGGAATGTAAGCTTCTCCTGTGCCTGAGACTGAGGAGTCTAGTTTACAAAACATTGTAAACTAGACGTTTTGAGCCCACTGTCTGACCAGAAAAGAATAGTACTGTAAGTTACTGAAGTAAAGAGAAAGAATAAAAATTTACATGGGGCCAAAATCCCTTCAGCCCTTAAATGCATTGGATTATTTTAGGCTCATTTGGAAAACATTTTATCTAGTGAAGTCAAAATTATAGTTGCATAATTTCGTAACTAATTCTGTCCTGGACTTAGGTTCAAGATTGGCTCCAGAATTTACTATTTGTGGGATCTGGACATTTTATTTTTCATCTCTGAGCCTCAGTTTTCCCATATGTAAAATGTAGGCATGTTAGAGGGGCTTCTTTGGAGAAGTTCCTATTGGAGACAGACCTTGATGCTAAGACCCCTCAGGCCTTGATATTAGCCCCTGGCATAGAAGCTGGGATTCTGTTACCCACAAATTGATTTTCTTTACACCAGGTATACCTTACATATTCTGTCTTATTTAATACTCAAAATAATTCTTTGAAGTAGATACTATTGACCCCATTTTATATGTGAGGAAACCTAGAATAAGAGAAGTTAAGATAACCTTGCCTAAAGATCTATAACTAATAAGTCATATACCAGGATACAAATTCAAGTCTGTCTGACTCTTGAGCCAGTATCTATCCAGCATACTGGACATTTCCATCTATATCTCCAAGGGTTCCATGAAGGTAACATGAACTAAAGTGCCCGAAAAACTAGAAACTGCAAAGTGCTATATAAACAAGGGATACTGTTATTTCTTCTAGGTGTTCTTAGCCACATATCAGAAATTAGCAGTAGAGTCCAGTCCAAAGCATGAATAAATCTAGGGGCATTGTATTTTCTATTTTACAATGAGGACATTGAAGCCCATAGTGATAAGAAATATGCCAGCATAGCCATAAAGTGACAGCAGTACTGATTCCTAATCTGGTTCCAAAGCCTACCACCAGGCTGGCTTCTCCAGTGCTTTCCCTCAGGCCTTGATATTAGCCCCTGGATTGAAGCTGGGATTCTGTTACCCACAAATTGATTTTCTGTGATAGAACTCCCCACCCAGTAGGCTGAGGTGGGGAGGTTTTTTTTTTTTTTTTTTTTTTTTTTTATACTTTGGAATTACCTTGGGAATCTAAGAATTAGGTTACTAGTGTGGGGTGAGATACTGATGATAGTAGTTATTTTCTTATAGTGTTGTTTAAGACCATTTATGTAAAGTTAACCATTCAAAACTTTAATGACAGTTAAAATGTTATTTGAGTATCATTGTATTTGTATGACTACTCTTCTAAACTTTCTGAATTTAGAAATGATGATTTTGAAGCATAAGAAGTTTGGTGGTGCCCCTGCCTCTAGAGAATGGGCAGTAGTGGCCACACCACATGGCACTACCTCTGATTTTTCTGCTGAAGCATCGTAGCCAGGTTATTGCCTTTTTTTCTGGATTTGTTTATCTTTATTACAAAAGTTTGTTTTGAAAACCTTGACAACCATCATATTTGGAGAAGCTTTTGTATGTGTGTTTGCCAGCAAATCTTAATTCTATATTACATGATGTTACCAAAATGATCAATCTGATGCAATCTAAGCCAGTGCTATTGTTTTTCAGCTTTGTTCCAAGAAGCAAAATTCTGCTTTCTTCTTTTCTTATCAAAATGCGTTTGTTGCCCAAAGGAAGAGATTCTCGAGTCAATTTATCATCTAAAATATTTTTTTTTGGTTGGGGATTATGAATGACTTACTTTGTAGATCTGTTGAAGGATAGTAAATGACTGAATTGACTAATATTCTAGAGTACCTTAGTGAAGGTCCACTTGAAATTATATTTATATATACAGTAGAGAGAGAAATTTAAAGCAAAAATTCTCAGTGTTTTGTTTAGAATCTGTAAGGAGAATCATTAAGTACAACAACATCTGTGAATGCTTCAGGGAAAACTTCATTACCTTGGACTCATCTTTGACCCTTCCACTCTCACATTTCGTATGCAATCTATCAGGAAGTGGCATCTGCTTTCCCTTCAAAGCATGTTCATAATGGTTACTTCCCAATGCCTCTACTACTCACTACTACAGTCCTCACTGAGACACCACTATCTATGACCTGGATTATTTTAATAGCCTCCCAGCTGTAAATAAATAAAAGAAAAGTCAAGTAAGCTTTTTATTAATGTGTTTATTTTCTTCTAACACAAGTATTTAGAATCTGTTATTTAAAAAATACCAAACAACTATCCTGATACTAGCTTGTACTTGATAATTCTTGTCCACTTGAGAAAATCATCTTTTGGGGAGTTGAGAGCAACACATTAGAATTCATTGACCACATGAATTAAGTGACAAAAACCACAGAAGTAAATGGTAACAATTGAAGTGAAGGCAATTAATATAGAGAACTCTAATTAAAAGCTTCTACATGAATTTAGTAGATTAGAGAAAGTTCCTTGAAGAAGGATGAAAGTGAGCTGTGTGTCAGAGGACATGGAGGAGTTAGAGCAAGGGGGCCAAGTGGCATCTTTGCAGTTGTTCTAAGGTAGGAATTAGCTCAGTGTTTTCGGAGATGTGTACTAGTTGGACGGAAAAAGAGCAGGTATATTTGAAGGAGATTGGGGATAAGAGAATGACGTGAAAATTCAGATTATGGGAGCTCACTTGGTAATTTGTTGGAGTCGTCCTAAATGTTGAGAATCCTGATCTGGACCTGGAGATGGTGAAGGAGGTGGACCTGGTGAATACTGTTTTTAGGAAATCTTAAGTGGAGTTGAGTCCAAACCAGAGCAACACATTAGCTTGCTAACAGGGGATCTAGAGCATGACAACAGGAGATCCAGGGCAGAGCATTTCAGAGCTCTGATAGGCAGACAGTAGACCTGGATTATATTTTGGCAGAGAGCATTTTGGCCGAACAAATGTAATCAAAAGCAACATGGTGAAAGCAACTTTGTGTGTTAGTTTGGTTGAAACAGACTTTGGGAACAAAATGAGCATGTTAACCACTGGCATTCAAGTTTTTGTTAAATAGTAATGATAGTAGCTATCACTCATGAATGCATTCCACATGTAGGGCGCCTTACTAGATTTGCAGATATTACCATCTTTAATCTTCACAGCCATTCTACGAGATAGGCGCTACTATTTTCTCCATTTTACAGATGAGGAAATTGGTGGTTTGGAAGATTAAGCTGTTTGCTCAGTCACATAGCAAGTCAATCTAGAGCGAGACTTTGAACACTGAGCAGTCCAAAGCCCTGCTCTCTTTGGTCGTCACGTAGTACTGCTTGCTGGTATCAAGGAACATGGTTCATTAATTATCCATTTTTATCTTTAACTACAAAAGTAATACATAAAATAAATGAATGGGCCAGGCACAGTGGCTCATGCCTGTAATCCCAGTGCTTTGGGAGGCCGAGGTGGGCGGATCACAAGGTTAAGAGATGGAGACCATCCTGGCCAACATGGTGAAACCCTGTCTCTACTTAAAAATACAAAAAAAATTAGCTGGGGCGTGGTGGTGTGCACCTGTAGTCCCAGCTACTTGGGAGGCTGAGACAGGAGCATTGCTGGAACCTGAGAGACAGAGGTTGCAGTGAGCCAAGCTTGTGCCACTGCACTCCAGCCTGGCGCCTGGCCACAGAGCCAGACTCTATCTCAAAAAAACAAACAAACAAAAGAATTAATTAATTCTAGAAAAATTTTAAAATGTAAAGTAGCAGAAGATGACTATACAAAATAGTCACAATTTCCTCCATTAGAGGAATTAACACCTTTGCTTACATATCTTTTTCTTTTTTGGGCATATTGATTTATATACATTTTAAAAAATTAAAATGACATTTGATAAATCTTTTAAAACCGATTGTTGAACATTTGACTGTTTTCAGCTTACCCTGTTGGGCCTTTAGGCTGTGGTGACTTTTTGATATTACAAACAGTATGCAATAGAAATAATCAGCCAAAAACAACATGCAAATAAAATAAAGCAAAATGAAACAAGACTAAAAAAGGACAAAAAATTCAAAACAATAGGCAGTAATACAAGAGATGAATAACAATTGTAAAACCACTCATTCTATAAATATGTTGTATTCAAATTATAATGCTCTGAAAACCAATGGGAGGGGAATATTTGCTTTTGAGCAGGCCTTGATGTTGAACAAGTTTCTAAGTGTTTTTAACAGAATCACCTGGAGCCAGTTTCCTGAATCACAAGCAGGATCTCAGCCCCTAGGCAGAGTCACAGGAAGGTAGCTAATCCTTAAGTGCATATACAAGGAGTCTAGGAGGGACTGTGCTCAAGGGAATAACCTAATGACCAGAAATGATAGATGTAGTAAAAAGAATTAATCTCAGGATCAGAATATTAAACCAGTGATCAAATCTGAAGCACAAGGTTATTGCTAGGATAACAATCACATGACAACAGGAAGCTGATACCGAGTCCCAGAGCATTGGGGCAACACTCTTGTCTTAGTCTATTTGCATTGCTACAATGGAATACCTGAGACTAGGTAATGTATAAAGAAAAAATGGTTATTTGGCTCACAGTTCCGTAGGCTTGTACTGAAGTATGGTGCCAGCATCTGCTGCTGGTGATGGCTTCAGGCTTCTTCCACTCATGGTGGAAGGTGAGGTGAAACCAACATGTGTAGTGGTCAAGGAGGGGATGAGGAGGGTGCCTGGCTCTTTCTAATAATCAGCTCTCTGGGGAAGTAATAGAGGAAGAACTTGTTCATTACACTGAGGTTGGCACCAAGCCATGTATGAGAGATCTGTCCCTATGACCCAAACACCTCCCATTAGGTCCCACCTCTAACATTGGGGTTCACATTTCAACATGAGGTTTGTGGGCACAAACACCCAAACTGTAGCAACTCTAAATCCTTCCTGCCAAAGGGCAAGAGATTAGACTAGGGATGACCTTCCAGGTGGACAGAATGGCTCCAGAAATTATGAATTTGGCAGGCCTTGTCAATCTGAGGTTTGCAGGGAGGAGGAGAACATGATGAAGAGTTGCAGGATTTGTAGGATGATTAAAAATCAGTGCAGTATATGCAAGAACATGATTTAAGAGGATACTTCTTAATAGTATTGGGGTAGCAAATGAAAAGAAAGAGACTCTTGGTCTGCACACTGGTTGGAATTATATGTACAGTGATATCCAGACATCCCCATTAAATAAATAGAATGAATTAATACCTGTAACTGTATTCCTCTTTATATCACATTTTTGGCAAACAGAGAAAAAGCATGGAGTTGATCCTTTGGAGCCTGTAATGCTACCATTACTTTCATTAAATAAAGTTTTAGCTGGTATATAAAGATTTTCCTTTATTACAGAGCCTCTAAACAGACATGCCATATCCTAGAATTATAGTTTAAGTTAATGGTATTATGTTTTAAAATTAAAAATTATTATCTTTTGTTGGTGTTATCAAAACCATCACAAAATTAATCATGAATATACTAGGGTGACGGTTCAATTAACTTTCATGGATATTGATCAGATAAACACAAGATTTATGATTGTATTCTGAAGTCTTTATTAGGTGAGTGGGTTACCCAGACAATTAAGAACTCATCTAATAAAGACCTGGAAAATGCTGCTTTTGAGTTAAAGAGACCTCTCTTTTTCTTAGTGTCAATACATTTTTTGCTTGTTTTGTTGCACTAAGAGTACCAATTGTATAGAAGTTTATTCAGTGATCTTAATTAGAAATAACTTTTTAAATGTTTTTAGATATATAAAATTTAAAAACTTCCAATAGTGTTCATGATGTTATAGGAATGTCTATAAATTAACTGTAGCTCATGGTTACATTTGCTTCAGTGCTTTGAACTTTTGAATCAAGCCTTTCTTCCACAGTATTGGATGAATATTATCATAATTTATGTCACTTGCATGAAATTTTCAAATATATAGTTTTAAAATTACCAAATAGTCTATGCTTGTTATTTAAAGAAAAAAAAAACCCTCCAAAACTAAAACAGTGTTGAATACAGCCCCTTTCCCATCCTTGAAATGATAACTGTGTAAATAATTTGATGCCCGTCTTTGCAATTTTTCATAAAGGTTCTAATTGTGTTTACATATATATGTAGATTGATAGATGCATACATTCTCCTTTCTCCCCTCTCTCTTCTTCCTTTCCCTCTCACTTCTTCCCCTTTGTCTCCCTCCTCCTCATTTTTAACATAAGTGCTATGATATTGCCAAAGCAAAGAAGGCTTTGTTCTGTGCTCTGTGCTTTATTGAATTGCATTCATTGGTGGAGCTTATTTTCTTTGTCCTTTCCTGCCTTTGCCCACTCTGAAGGTTCAGTAAATTCAGTCTTTGTTTTGCTTTTCTTTATACTCAGCAGCCAAACTAGGAACCCTCCCAGAACAAATCCTCAACTCTGTAAAAGAGAGCAATTCTGGGTGCTTTCTCCTGGGGACAGCCAGCTTTACAGGTTCAGTTCTGGCTTCCCTGGTGATTGGCCCAAGGCCCAGCATGGCTTTTGTACCAGCTGATTCCTAGTGGGAAGTTTCTCTGGGGTTTCCTTGGAAAGAAAGCTCTTTGTAGCATTCCTCTTCCGTGTCTATTATTGGTCGAGGTTTCCTCTGCATTCATTATCTATTATTTTGACTATGTCTGATTTCTGTTTTCCAGGACTTTCTAAAATACCTTGATATGTTGATGATAGACCTTGCTTTTTTCCTTCTTGAGTCTGTCATTTTGGTGGGATTTAGGGAGATCAACGAGGTGAGGTACACATGATGGCTCAGTCAACACCTTGAACTTCCCAGATGTCTAGTATTTTTTCTCTTTCTGGACCAGGTTTTAGGACATTCTTTCAGGGAACGAGCTTATTTGCACTTCCTCTGGCTTGTGTTAGAACTTGAAAGGCTTTTTTTCTTTCAGTTTTGTGTTAGTAATAATGAAATTCAATGATATGTCATTGCTCTCTGGGTGTGTAAATGACACTTTTGCTTGTCAACTGCATTTATAGGCCACCACAAAGTGTTACTTGCATAAGGCCAAATAGTGATGCAAAAGTCACTTAAAAATTTTACATAATTATCCATATTTCATTTGACGTATAAATGCCACTATCTTTTTGTCACATGTATTTATATTTTGCCAGGTAACTGAATATTGTCACCTACCTTTTTCAGCACCCAGATCAACTAGAAATATTTTTTGAAAAGTAATAACTTTTCATGGGCACATAGTATTCCATTAATTTATCTTAAAATTGTTTCTTAGTTACTATCAGAAACAAATGAATGGTTCAGCATTTGAAAAAAAATTTGTTTCAGGAAGGAGAAAACATTTTCTATTTGGCAGTTGAAGATATAGACACAGACACGGAACTTCTGATTGGCTACCTGGATAGTGACATGGAGGCCGATGAGGAAGAACAGCAAATTGTGACAGTCATCACAGAAGGGGAAGTTGAAAATTCTAGAAGACAATTAACAGCAGGCGGAAAAGGTATTGCATCTTTAACTGGTGATCTGGGACAATAAAAGTAGAAAAAATGTAGTTTAAACTGTGGTTGAATTATAGTTGCCTTGTAATATGGCATTCTCAAATAAAGTTAGTTTTTGTCAAAATTACTCTCAGAGGGTATCCTGTGGTGAGCTCATCTTTCTTAGAGCAGGAAAAGTATGTTGGGGGTGGGTGATGGATGTGCCCAAAGGACTGCCTAGGCCACAGGCAGGGGTGCATTGCTGGGGCAGCTTCTGGCTCTCACCGCTCTCACTGGCACACTGGGGTAACAAGTAGTGAGGATTTTTTTGTAGTCTTGCCCTAGCCCTGCCACTAATCAGTATTGTAATATTGGGCAAGTTGTTGACTTTCTGAGACTTTACTTACTCATCTGCACATGGGAAAAGGTGAGTGTAGAGGTCAGGTACACAAGAGAGCCTGCTGGATCCAAAGGGGATTGGTTCCTCTGGTTTGGGATGTTTTGGGAACCTGCAGCTTCTTGGCATCTCCTTCTGTTCTGATCACAGAAGCCTGGAGGATTGCTAAGCTGCCCTAGTTCGGTTACCAAAAACTCTCAATGACCATAGGTTAGACCCTCCTCAGTCAATATTGCAGCCACTTGCTTGTTAACTTCCTGGGAATAATCAGTTATTATTGGTCTTGTTGCTATTATGTTGTGTTTTACTCCTAAGGGAAGTTTAAGGGATACGTGCATAATGCTATAGGTATCCCCATTTTTTAACAGGCTTTGTCTTAATGCTTTCAGGCTGTTACAACAGAATGCTTTAGTCTAGATACTTGGTAAGCAACATAAATTTATTGCTCACATTTCTGGAGCCTAGAAAGTCTATCAAGGTGCCAGCAGATTTGGTGTCAGGTGAGGGCCCATTTCTAATTAGATAGCACCTTCTAGCTGTGTCCTCATGTGACAGAAGGGGCAAACAAGCTCTCTTGGGCTTCTTTTACAAGGGCATTAGGCCCATCCATGAGGACAGGTGATCACAACCTAATCACCTCCTAAAGGCCCCACCTCTTAATACAATTCCCATTGGGAACTTACGAATTTTGGGATTCATGAACATTCAGACCACAGCAGGCTGATACTATACAGTACTTTTCCATTTTTAGTAGCAAAGCCACTTCAGAAGTGATACTGGTTTCATTAGTCAAGTGGTAATGATGCTTTTCCTGTATATTTTCTGTTCTAACTGCATGTTCTTAGCTGAGAAAGTGTCAACATTCTGTCACCATTAGTTGAGTTATTTAAGGGGAAGATAAGGACCGGGTTATATGCATTATGCTGTTTGGAATATCAGATTTAGGGTGATGGAAATTATTTCTGTATTATTCTGTGTTTTTTTTTTTGTTTGTTTGTTTTTGTATTTTATTTTTTTCTCTGTCACCCCCCAGGGCAAGTTATTTTGTCCATTGTTTTAATTTAAAAAGAAGTCGTCTACTTATCTATTACTGCTCTGCTTTCTGCTTTAGTTATTAAAATACCAGTTTTCATTATCTTTGTATAAAGAATCAACAGAAACTTAAACATTTTTTTTTAAACATCTGAACCAAGCACTTGTACTGTGGCTATTTTTATTTTAGAATTATTGGTCTTGTTTAGAAAAGCAAAGAAACAAAATAAAAACAAACTCACCCAAAGAAATAATGAAAGCCACCCAAGTGTCTAACAATGAAGAGTTTCGTTAAATGAATTATGGTACTTTAAGTTTTAAAAAACACCAACATTGCCGGGCGCGGTGGCTCAAGCCTGTAATCCCAGCACTTTGGGAGGCCGAGGCGGGTGGATCATAAGGTCAAGAGATCGAGACCATCCTGGTCAACATGGTGAAACCCCGTCTCTACTAAAAATACAAAACATTAGCTGGGCGTGGTGGCGCGTGCCTGTAATCCCAGCTACTCAGGAGGCTGAGGCAGAAGAATTGCCTGAACCCAGGAGGCGGAGGTTGCGGTGAGCCGAGATCGTGCCATTGCACTCCAGCCTGGGTAGCATGAGTGAAACTCCGTCTCAAAAAAAAAAAAAAAAAAAACACACACACACCAACATTTGACTTAAGAAGCTGTTAAATGGGAAAATATATAAAATTGTATACAAAGTATGATCCTAAATTTACCTCTTCTTAGACTGTGCATAAAATATGTATGCACTAAAGGCAAGTCAGGCTTGCCAGTAATATTATGACAGTTGTCTCTTCAAGACGGGATTATTGGTGTTTTTTATTTTCCACATTTTCTAAATTTAATTTTATTTCATAATCAGAAAAAAAAATGTGTAACTTACATAGCACACTGAGAAATTTGGTCAGACATGCACCAGTCTGTATGGGACGGTGTAGCCTAATTCACTATACTAGCTGTAATCAGCACTGTTTTTATGACCTTGGTCTTTTTTCACATGCATGTGAGATTCCCCTTGGTAATTCAATATAGTTTGCCTCAGTTTGATTTTTCTCCTTGTTAAGGTAAAAGTGAGCTTTTTAAAAAGGACCAATTTCAGGAATAGCTTTTGTTTTGTAATTTAACATTTGTAATAACTCTTTTATCTGAAAAGTTAACATTATAGGGTGAATTAAATAATGAATTTGATTATGTATTAATCTGGTGAAACAAGTGGTTTTGAAAATAATGTATTTCTAGTAACACTTGCTATTATTTTTTGTGGCTAATAGGATTAATATTTATAGTGATAAGACTTCACTCATATAGTATCATAAGCACAGTTAATTTCAGTTTTAAAATGAGAGGAAAAATGAGCATTTCTTGGCTCTGAATTTTTGTCTCATGACTATGTGTCCTTGTAAATATGCAGATGGCCTTGGCTGTAAAGAGGACTATGCTTGTCCTCAGTGTGAATCGAGTTTTACCAGTGAGGATATTCTTGCTGAGCATCTTCAGACATTGCACCAGAAACCCACAGAGGAGAAAGAATTTAAGTGCAAGAGCTGTGGGAAGAAATTCCCAGTTAAGCAGGCTTTGCAAAGACAGTGGGTATATTAAAGAATATCTTTAAAATTATAAGCTAACACAGTTTATTACATTTGTCTTAACTCCTAGTTTTTAACCTCTGTGTGTGTGTTGGCGGTGGGGAGGGGTGCATGTTTGTGTGTATGTGAGTGATTAAGCATTTTACATTGGTATTGTCATTAATTCATCTTTTCTTAGCGTAGTATGTTGATTTTTGAAATATTCAAATAATGAATTTTAACATGTAAACACTGTTTATGGTAATTAGTTTTTGTCCATTTAATAATTTGCCATTATGTATCAAGTTTACTGGTTTAATCTAAAATTCAGATATGCCTAATTCAGTTAGTCTTTCAAGGTAACAGAGTTTTAGTGGTCTACATTTGATATTCCTTCTGGAATCTGTTAAAGAAAAGTTTAAGAAATGGAGAGAGTTCAAAATATAAAGAATTCCTAGACATTTTGGGAAACACTGTTTATTTGAGAGCAACTTTAGAGGAATAGATGCATAGGTACCGGACATAACAATATGATGAATTAAATGATCCCACACATAGCTCTGTACATTTCATTACTTTAACAATTTATATTAACAACATAAAATTATCTTTATTTAAATATTTTATAGGATCAGAAATTATTAAAAGTGAGAAATGCGCATGCATTTGTAAAGTTTTTTTACTCATTAAAGTTTTTAATTTTAATCAGATAATTGAATTTAAGTAATTTAAAAGCATATTTACATATTGGATACAACTGTAGACTATCATTTTGTTGAAGCCAGTTACTTCCAATATCAAAGTAATATAAATTGTCCCATCTCATCAGCATATGTCTTTCTTCTCTTATATGCTCCCATCCTGCTATTTACTTTCTTCCTCCAACCTTAGCTTCTCATTTTAACAGAATGTCACATTACATATGAGCAAGACCTCTTTAATATAAGCTTTAATGTTACATTTTTGTGTTTCATTGAAGTAAAATTCTGAAATATGCTACATTTCATATTAAGACTGTATAATTATTATATGCATCAACTTGTGCTTATAAAAATTGAAATGAAAAATTGTGTTTAAAACCTAATAAATGTTCAGAGCATCAAAGCTTATAGTAGCAGGATATTACATATTTATAAATTCTATTATACGTTCTTTAAAAAACAAGCAAGGGTGATATGCTTTTAAATAAATGGACATTAAGTTGCGTTCTATTTAGCTTTTATTGCATTTAGTATTATAAATTTATACAAAAGACACCCTGCTGAGCAGAAGCTTACAGTTAAATAAGGTACTCCTAAAAATTTAAAAAGGCAAAAGACAAAATGAAACAAGGGATCATAAACATGACTTTATACAGAGTTAGCATAGTTTCATTTTTGTCTTAGAGTTCCAGTTTTTGTTTTTTTTCTCTTTTTCCTATTTCCCTTTAGTGTTCTTCAGTGCACAGCAAAAAGCAGTCTGAAGGAGTCTTCACGAAGTTTTCAGTGCTCTGTTTGCAATTCTTCCTTCAGTTCAGCATCAAGGTTTTGTTTCTGTTATGAGATGGCTGTTACATAATTGTGGGTCATTATTTGCATGCACACTTTTATGCTTCTTAGTAACGCAGTTTCACATGCCCACATAATTTAAATCCTTTTTTTCTTACCTGTATAGGTAATGCATGGAATGACCCCGAAATTCTGCTAGGGAGCATGTATTAGAAAATCTTGCTGTGATGTTTGAGTTTTTTAGGTATGTCTTCACCATTTCTTTTCCCTGTTCCGTTTTGCTGTTTGTCTTGTAGTTTTGAGCAGCACCAGGAGACTTGCCGAGGGGATGCCAGGTTTGTGTGCAAGGCTGACAGCTGTGGAAAGAGACTGAAGAGCAAGGACGCCCTGAAAAGACACCAGGAAAATGTCCACACTGGTGAGGAGTCATTGGAGGGTCGTTTCCAAAGGGACTTCCTTTCCCCGGACTGCAGTGATCTGTTTTTAATTCTCACTCTCGAGGAGAGAGCTGGCTTTTCCATTGTGTTTCACACAGATGTGGAGCGCTGGCAGTGGATTTTTTTCTTTCACTGAACACTATTTCTTTCTCAAGTTGAATTTAGCAGCATTTGTTCTTTTTCCCATTTCTGAACTAATCATGGCTGTAAGCCTTAGTAGAGTCTAGTTATGTTTGGGTGGTCAGGTGCATTAAGAATTAATATTTTTAAGTAACAATTTTAAATGTTTTGGCATATGACATTTCTTTTATAAATTGTTAAAATTTATCATTATTAAGTGATATCCTTCTGCCTTACTATTTTTACAGTAAAATCCAACTTTTGAAAATGCTTACAGTTCTCCTAAATTAGAGAAAATTACCAACACATTTTGATATTGGAATTAAATATCTTTGGATTAATTAAACAAATATTATTCAAATTCCATCTCAGCTAGCTAAACAATAAAACAGATATAAAATTTGACTGTCACTTAGGTTTATCTGCTTAGCACATGGTACACTGACAATAAATATATTTTGGCTTAGGAATTAAATCTATTGTAGTGGATTGAATAGATGGTTGTATTGTCCCAGTTAACTTTTTGCTTCTTGTCTTTTTACCTCTGTAGATTTCCTTCTTAAAGGAGGTTGAGAGTTATGAAACCCTGCATGTTCTTTTGTGCTTATTCTTTGCCCATATGTTTACTTTTGCCCTTGACTTCTGGGAAGTGGTTGGATACGTGTCTCTGGATGTAGGGGAAAGTGGATTTCTTTTCTCCCTTCAGTTATTTATTCTCACATTCAGGTGAAGATGACAATCATCTCCCTTCAGTTATTTATTCTCACATTCAGGTGAAGATTATCATCTTCACCCAACATCTGTGTCTTATGTTTGTTCATTGTCCAAAAAGTATTAACTTTAATAATAATACAATTACAGAGGCTTCCATGAGCACAACTGCTAGCTGCGACTTTGCATCATTGGTTGGGCTGCATATTAAGTGCGACCTATGGTGAAAACTCTGTGTGATGGAAGTAGGGCCTTGTGAAATGCACTTCCAGCTTGGTGCCCATCACTAGGCTTTTACAGTGTTCTGGTTTCGTTCTTTCCTTTTGAAGAATATGTGGCTGATTTAGGGAAGATGGCATTTTTCTGAATTCAATATACTGGGACATTCCCTATGATTGCAAAAGGCAAGAATAACTTTTTGGTAAACTTGCCTTCATTGTTTTTTTTTTTCCAATGCTGTTCTAGTTAAAATGCTATTCTTAATTTTTTCATCTATGTCTGCAATATATTGTAATAGAACTTTCATGTCAGTTTTAAAGTTTAAGTTTGCTGAACTAAGTAAAAATCAGATGCATATGAAACTCTGGAAACTTGCGTTCTTATTACTGTCATGTGGTCTTCAGGCTGTGCTATAAGCACAGTTTCTTTAAGGCTTCTTGTAGTTGGCCTTGTATGTGGTAATATTACTGATTCTGGATATTTATGGTGATTTTTTTTAGGAAATAATTCATAAAAGGAAATCTTGTTTTATATATGTATTTTTATTTGTGAACCATATAAAATGTGAAATCTTGCTGTATTTTAGCTAAAGGTTACTATACCATATGTTTTGCTGGGGGTGGTACATGATGTCATTCTCTCATTCATAGTACATCTCTTGCTTCTCTCCTTTCCTCCATGGGCTACACAGGCATTTGAGGAAATTTTATTCCCTACTGGAGATAGCAAAGCAAAGAAGCTTTCATACACATGATTGAATCCTTTATTATAGAAAGGCAAAGGCACTCAAAGAAAGAGATCTTTGATGGCAAATTTTTTTTGTTAATGTAATATGAATTGAGGATGATGATTAGAGAGAAGCTGAATTTTTAAATATAGATCACATTTTTCCATAGAAACTGTAGCATGTGGTAGATAGGTTCTCAGACCAGCTCCTAGAATCGTACTTAGCCCACAGTGTGTTGAAACTTGAATACTTATGTGATTGTCTGTTCAGTACAGTTGTATTCATTTCCTCACATGGCTTACTTGTATAAATACTGTGTTCCTTAATGTTTTTGAAAGTTAAATCTGAAAGTCAAATATCAGATTTACCTAAATAGGAAAGTTAAGACAGTATAACATCTAGGTATGGCTTTGCCAGTTCTGTTATCCGTGAGCCTAGGGGAACTGGTAGAGTGGTGAGGGTCCTCACAGTTACCTAAGAGGAAATAGAGAGTGAAGGGGCCAAGCTCCTCAATCACTTCCCACCTTTCTCTTTTGCTTAGATTCTATGGTTGCAGACAAAGAGACTTTGCATTTATGGGAGATCCCATTTACATTCTCAGATGAATAGGCATGCGTGTTTCTTGTGTGTCTTCTCAGAGGAACTAGGATTCTTCTACGGTGAAGAAGAGGAGCAGCCATGAAAGGAGAAAGAAAATTGAAGAGTGGGGATGGGGGTTTGATACCTGCAGGTGGAGCCATGGCAGGAGTGCAGGGGTAAAGTGAGAGGGGTGGGTGGAGAAATCTAGTTCTTTATCTCCTCTCTCCTCCTCTGACCTACCCAGTGGGAAGGAATAGGGCCTAGTATCAAGGAGCAGCCTAGAACAGGGCAGTAAGGTAAGGGTGGAAGATGGACCAACCAACTAGTGGGAGCTGGAAAAGAGGGAATATTCTTTCTGAATGGTGCCTCTTGTATGATATGTTTAGGAAACTGATGACCAAATATATGCTGTCAGATAATCATTTTGCCTGGGAGAATTTTCTCCTTTAGTAGCCATGTTACTTTTCAGTCACTAAGAAACATTTTCTCAGCTATCATATTTAGTCTGCTAAAAACAGTGCATTAAATGTAATAGACATCTTGAATAATAAGACAAAAATTCATATTTGCCATTTCACAGTGTATTTCTCTTTCATAGATGCAGTCCTATAATAAAATGAAATCATTTTGTAATGATGGTTGTACTTGTTTTAGATTTGCTTCAAAATATAGAGAAATGGGGGTGTGGTTGGGGTTGAGGTTGGGGCAGGAATGGCCATGGTGAGCTATTGTTGGGGCCAGATGATAGACACGTGGTGATTCATTACACTATATCCTTCTTTTTGCATATTTGAAATCAGCCAATTAAAAGTTGAAAACACATTTTATGCTTATTCATTGTGGTGCATTTGATATTATATCACATTTAACAATGTTTGCCTCTTCATTTCTATAACTAAAATTTGAAATATGAAATGAGCTACTATAAGCATAATCACTACATAAGAAGACAGAATTGTGCTTTTTTTGTGTAACAGTATGATTGCCAACATATTGTTTTATTGTACTTTATTTCTTAAAATTAATTTGATAAACATATACTTAGAGATTGTATAAGACTCCAGTGCTGGAAAGAATAGGCTATAAATTCTGCCTTAAAAACCCAGCTGATTAAATAAAATATTCTGTTGAAATGTAAAAGAAAGTAACACAATTTGTGAATTGCTAAATTTAGTCTTTTCTTTTACAAACACATTTGGTTAATTTTAATTTTGATTTGAATTCCTTATGGATATATGCTTTTCTATTTTAATACTATACCATATTAGTACATGGAAAAGTGAATGCCTGTTTTATATATACAGATAGTGCTATATGAAGCTATGAAGATTTCTCAAATTTAAAAAGAAAGCTTTTACACAGAATGAGAGAAAATATTTGCAAACTACCCATCTGACAAGTGATTAATAACCAGAATATAGAAGGTGCTCAAACAACTCAACAGGAAAAAAAATCAAATAATCTAATTAAAAAATGGACAAAAAAATCTAAATAGACATTTTTCAAAAGAAGACATAAATAGCCAACAGGTATATGAAAAAATGTTCAAAGAAATTAATCATCAGAAAAAATGCAAATCAAAACTACAGTGAGATATCATCTCACCCTAGTTAAAATGGCTTTTATCCAAAAGACAGGCAATAACGAATGCTGGGGAGGATGTGGAGAAGGGGGAATGCTTTTACATTGTTGGTAGGAATGTAAATTAGTGTGGCCTCTGTGGACAATGGTATGGTGGTTACTCACAAAACTGAAGATAGAACTACCATATGATCTGGCGATTCTGCCAGGGTATATACTGCTAGGTATATACCTCAATGAAAGGAAATCAGTATATTGAAGAGATATCTGCATTCCCATGTTTATTACAGCACCATTCACGATAGCCAAGATTTGGAATCAACCTAAGTGTCCATCAATGAGAGAATGGGTAAAGGTAATTTTCTTAAGTGAAGTAAGCCAGGCACAGACACACAAATTTCACATATGCTCACTTATATATGGAAACTAAAATTAAAACTATTAAACTCATGAAGATAGAGAATAGAATGATCATTTCCGGAGGCTGGGTAGGGTAGCAAGGGCACGGTGAATAAAATGGGGATAGTTATAGGTGTAAAAATATAGTTAGAATGAATACAGTCTGATAACAATACAATTTGATAGCATAACAGGGTGACTATAGTCAACAATAAATTATTGCATATTTAAAAATAACTAAAAGAATAGAATTGGAATGTTCCTAACACAAAAAAATGATAGATGCTTGAGGTGATGGATACCCTTATGTGGTTATTACACATCGTATGCCTATATCGAAACATCACATGTACCCTATAAATATAGGCACCTGCTATGTACTCATAATAATAAAAAAATTATGAAAAGGAACATAAGCTTCTGCATTCTCTTGGGAGGCTGGGTCTTTATTCTGAAGGCTCCCCTATATACATGTTAAGTAAATTTGATGTCTTTTCTTTAATTAAAAATAAGATTTAAAATACAACTTTAAGTTTAATGGATATATCTACAACACTGAATAGTGTAGAATTCTAACTTATGAAGATGAACTTGCATATCACCTCAAAATACTATTTGTTGCTCCTCTTATTAGTCTCATTTAAATCATGGTGGTATTTTATTTCTATTTTAGGAGATCCTAAGAAAAAGCTTATATGTTCAGTGTGCAATAAAAAGTGTTCTTCAGCGTCAAGCCTACAGGAACATAGAAAGGTCAGTAAGATAAAGATTAACTTTTATCACAGTTTAATATCTATCTTTAATAATTTTAATATATTTTACAGTAAGTATAAAAGCTACCAAGTTATTTTGATGTGAAAAGATAATCTGAAAAATAAATAGCAATTATTAACTCCAACAACATTAGCAACTAGTTAATAGAATTTACAATAAAATATAATTAAAATGGAGTTTTAATTTTTGTTCTGCTCATGAATCACAAGGTCCAATATATTTATATTATATTTATTATAACGATGTAAATGATCGTTCTTAATTTCACATACTGTTTCTTTTAGCATAGCTACAAGCATGAGATATTTTAGTATTTATGAAAGGGAAGAGATGGTATTAGTGAAAATAAAATTTTACTTTTGTTATGGTTTATAAAATGAATTTTATCTCTGTATATGGATGTATTACAAAGTAATTTGACAGGGCTTAAAATTTGTATGATTTTTAATCCAGATCCCACCATGTGCTGTGGATTTAAGTTATAATGTGTAAGGTAGCTTAATTGTTGTATTGATATGTCTGAGGTTATATCTTGTATGTTTAGCGATTTTGATCCTTAAAGAGAAATAACAGGACAAGCACCAGGCCAGGAATCAGGGTAGTGGGCTGCTGCTTCTGTCACTAACCTTCCATGTAACATTAGGCCTTTCTTTTCCTGTTTATAAAATGGGACACTGAATTGATCAGTATTCTCTTGTTTGTTCTCTGTGTGCCATAAAATTACCTTTTTTTTTTTTTTTTTTTTTCAGTTTTCAAGTAGCAGTCTTTTTAAAAATTATACTTTTTAAGTTCTAGGGTACATGTGCGAACGCGCAGGTTTGTTACATAGGTATACACATGCCACGGTGGTGTGCTGCATCTATCACCCCGTCATCTACATTAGGTATTTTTCCTAAAGATATCCCACCCCATTCCCCCACCTCCTGCTATCCATCCCCTAGTCCCTCACCTCCCGACAGGCCCCATTGTGTGATGTTTCCCTCTCTGTGTCCATGTGTTCTCATTGTTCAATACCCACTTATGAGTGAGAACATGCAGTGTTTGGTTTTCTGTTCTTGTGTCAGTTTGCTGAGAATGAAGGTTTCCAGCATTATCCATGTCCCTGCAAAGGAAATGAGTTCATCCTTTTTTTATGGCTCCATAGTATTTCATGGTGTATAGGTGCCACATTTTATTTATCCAGTCTATCATTGATGGGCATTTGGGTTGGTTCCAAGTATTTGCTATTATGAATAGTGCCACAGTAAACATATGTGTGCATGTGTCTTTATAATAGAATGAGTTATAATCCTTTGGGTATATACCCAATAATGGGATTGCTGGGTTAAATGGAATTTATTGTGTACTTTATTGCTATTATTATTACATTATAGTATATAATGAAATAAAAATTATACAACTCACCAGAATATAGAATCAATTAGAGCTCTGAGTTTGTTCTCCTGGGAGTGATAGGAGACAGTGACAGATCATCAAGCATCAGAAACTCCTATGTGATGTTAATGGAGTACAGAAACCATAACTTATGCCTTTGAGTGATCTTTGCAGAATGTTAGTAAGTTGCTAGCTCAGTGTAGCCCTTCCTCCATTTCAGCCATAGTGCTTCACTAGTCAGCCTTTCTGAATCCATAGGCAACTTTTGTTGACTCCAATTGCAACTTTTCTTATAGTTTGGGATGTCTAATGTCTGATAGAATTTGGTTGCAGTATTTCGCCTTGCTAGTAAATGATGCTTTATGACAATGCCAAATTATAGTATAGTCTGGTATCTTTTTTATTTTTTTTGAGACAGAGTCTTGCACTGTCGCCAAGACTTTAGTGCAGTGGCACTATCTCGGCTCACTGCAATTTCCGCCTCCTGGGTTCAAGCAATTCTCCTGCCTCAGCCTCCCGAGTAGCTGGGAATACAGGTGTGTGCCACCACACCCAGCTAATTTTTTTGTATTTTTAGTAGAGACGAGGTTTCACCATGTTGGCCAGGATGGTCTCAGTCTCTGGACCTCATGACCCACCCGCCTTGGCCTCCCAAAGTGCTGGGATTACAGTAGTCTAGTATCTTAAATTATTATATATTATCTCATATAATGATAGGGTATGTTGTGAGTCTTCTTGAAAATAATTTGGGAGTTCAAATTTTAAAATATTACATTCCAAATTAATTTGGTACACTGTACATTTTATAAGATCTCATAAAAATATACTTTAGCATTTGGCATAATTAAATAGTATTATTTGTCATTTTCAGTTTAAATATGATCTTTTCATTAAGACTTTTAAGGAATATTAAAAATAGCTTTGACTTGAATTTTTCACTATAAATGAGATAGTCAGTACAAAAATACGTTAGTATATAGTAGATGTTCTGTTTATAATGTTGGAAATATAAGTTTAATTCAACCTTGAAAAATGTTTCACGTTGAGGCCATGAGAGTTAAGAAGTGAACAGTATTTCATTTAAAAATGAAACAAACAGTGTTTTCTTTAACAGTTTCTATCTTATATATGGATTAATATTTTTTATGATTTTCTACATCAATACCATTTTAACATTAAAAATGAAAACAAGCAAAAGTTTTCATTTATATATGACTCGGAAGGTATGATATCTCTTAGACTATCTTGTTTGTCATTATAAAATTATATAGTATATATTTCAGAAACATAGAGTTTAATTATATAAATCTGCTTTTACTATATTTAAATTAACGTTACAAGTCATGTCACTGGTCCTCAAACACAGATGTTGAACTGAAGCCACTGTGATAGTCTTTGATGATTGGAGAGGCTGCCTTTAACATGCCTCAGGCTGGAAGGTTTTCTTCTGTGCTTTGGGGCACTAGCATTCCAAACCCTTGTGCAGGCATGCAGGCCATCGTGCAGAGCCCACATGCTTTATAAAGGAACTCTTTGGACTCCAGATATCCCCTCATAGATGCTATTGCATCTAAGCAGGAGAGATAAGTCAGACTCTTGTGGAATGACATATTTTGGCTTCTGCTTTGTTTCTCTACTTTTTCCCTGCTTTACGTAACTGAATTTAATGACTCATCCAGAGTCAGACCTGACAGAAGCAGAGGCTGGTTGGCAGCCTTCAACCTGCCACGTGCTTAGGCATTGAATTAAGCTATGGGCTGCAGGCCTGGGATCTGTCAGCCTTGTCCCAGCATCTGTTTCCCTGCCTGAGGCCTTCTATGGCCACTTATATCAAGAGAACCATTTATCAGGGGCCAGCGGAGTCCTCCACTCATTACTGATGTGCTGTACCAGCTCAAGGACTTTTGCCTAGCTCTTTCACTCTGCACTGTTGTTCCCAGTTATTCTGCAGGGACACTGTCTTGGCTTCTTGCACAAGGGCCTTTGCTTCTCTGGGATTTAGTATTTTAAGCTGGACCTTTAATGAGTTTGAAACAAAAACATGACTTCACCACAACCATTTTTGAATATTTAGCAAGGTACCGTGATGATGTTGTTCATTGGGTTGATGAATATTTCTAATATAATATGTAATACATTCCTTTTAGAATTGAATACTTTGTTTCTGAATAACTAGACTTCTACTTTTTATACCACCTATCCAGTTTCTCAGTGTTAGTGTCTGGGAGGGAAAGAACTAATTTAATATTCAATTGTAATATTTATATTAGCCAATTGTTTACTAAAGTTATATCCCCCCTTATTGTACTTTTAGCACAAATTTTATTCTGTATATTTAAGTTATACAACATAATGTCATGAGATTCACATATAGTTAAAATGGTTATTTTAGTGAAACATATTAATGCATCCTTTATCTCACATAGTTACCCATTTTTCCTCCTGTGGCACAGAGCAACTATAATCTCATTTAGCAAAAATCCTGACTATAATACGCTATTATTAATTGTAATCTTCATATTGTCCATTAAATCTTTAGAGTTATTCATCCTACATATCTGCTACTTTGGCTCCTTTGACTAGATTTCCTCATTTTTAAAATTGCAGTGTTCCTGTCATGTGAGACTTTTTTTTTGAGACAGAGTCTCACTCTGTCACCCACGCTGGAATGCAATAATATGAACACAGCTCACTGAAGCCTCAAGTTCCCAGGTTCAAACGATCATCCTGCTTCAGCCTCCTGTGTAGCTGTGACCACAAACATGTGCCACCACACCTGGCTAATTTATTTTTTATTTTTTTATAGGGACAAGGTCTCACTTTGTTGTCCAGGCTAGTCTCAAACTCTTGCGCTCAAGTAATCCTTCTGCCTTGGCCTCCCAAAATGCTGGGTTTATAAATGTGAGTCACTGAATCTGGCTCATGTGAAACTTTTATTGTGAACTAAATGCTTTTCAGAATCCTATCTCTTCAGTCTTTTACTGTAATTAATGTTGCACTCTCTACATGTACATTTAAGTTTAAAATATTGTTGACTACTGTAAAGGGAGTATTATTAAGTGGACACTACATATTTCCAAGTCCAAATTTGTGCATAACAAAAGAGTTATTATATATTAGGTATAATTTTTACATAGCATAAATTTAATATGTACTAAATAGGACAGTTATATTACATTTTTAAGGGCTATGAATCCTATGCCTCAAATGATATTTTTTTACTAGATAACTTATGTGCATTGTATTTTCAATGTATATAGGTTAGTGTGAATAAATTAGGGCTGAATTATAATATATAGTCTGGGTATTGCAGTAGAAACTAGTCACATGTTTACACTTTTGCTTTAGAGCTATGTAATTTATTAGGCTTTGACAGTTGATTTAACTGTCTGTTTAACTTTTGCAGATTCATGAGATATTTGATTGTCAAGAATGTATGAAGAAATTTATTTCAGCTAATCAGCTAAAACGTCATATGATCACCCACTCAGGTAAACTATATACTTTTTTGTTTATATGGATATCATTACAAAACAATTACATTGTCACTTTTATAAACTCTAAGAGCAGTAATCAGGGGCCCTAGATATAAATTCTACTTTGGACATTAGCCATATGATTATGAACAAGTTACTTAATTCTCTAGACCTCAGCTTATTTACAGAGCAAAGGTGTTTAGAGTAAATGATATCAAAAATCTTCAGAATCACCATGTAATTTGTCACTTATTTGTCCTTGAGCTTCAGTTTCTTTATTTTTCATCTGTGAAATGGGATACTGGTGCCTACCTTTCAAATTAACCCTGAAGGTTAAATGAGATCATTTAGGTATTGTGCTAGCAAAGTGTCTGGCATTTAGTAGATATACAAAAATTATAATTCCTGCATTCCTAGATACTTTTACATTCTAGCTAAGGTACTAATAAATGTTAATAGGAAATCTATAAATACATTTTGAGTATATAAATTTTTAAAGCTGTAGTTTCATTTAAGCAAGTTTTAGGAATAGATCTGTTTTACTTAATGCAGACTTAGAAAATCAGCTCCAAAAATAATTTTTACTTTATGGAGTCTCTAGAGTTTAAGAAGTCTATAATTTAAGGTGGTTGAAGTCAGAATGTTTTTGAATATGCACTTTGTAGATACATATGAGTGTTTTAGTAATTTAAAATCAGAGATCAAAACCTGTTATCTTGTAGGTATGTTTTATTTGATACATGTTGTGTATTTTTTATTTCAGTGTCAATGTTATATAGATATTGCATAAATACGGATTTTACATGCCAATGTAAATCTTTGGTTCCTGTTGATCATTGGAAGCTCTGCCTCCATGAGGCCTGTGTGGCCCGGGGGGAGGCAGCTGTGTTCTTTACCTCCAACCCTGTCAGGTCACTTTCTGCATTTGAGGCCCTGACCCTGATATAAACTCTCACGTATTAGCATGGTTTTCATCTGGAAGTAGGATTTCTTCCATAAATTTAAACCTTTTCTTTATATCTAAGTCACTTTCAAAATTCAAAATACACCTGTAAAATAACAAGCTCATATTTCGTTTGGTAGTAGGCACATTTGTCCTTATATAGGTAGACTGGGTGGAAGATGTTTTTTAGTTGTTTGACCATACTTTAGTTTACTTACCATAAGAAGTAACGTAAGGTAAGGATGTTCCTTTGCATACACACACACACACACACACACACACACACATATATATGAGATTGTCTGTACTCATTTTTTTTTTTTTTAGAAAAACGACCCTATAAATGCGAGATTTGTAATAAGTCTTTCAAGAGGCTTGATCAAGTGGGTGCTCATAAAGTAATACACAGTGAAGACAAACCTTACAAATGCAAACTTTGTGGAAAGGGATTTGCCCACAGAAATGTTTACAAGAATCATAAGAAGGTAAAAGCTTATTAATATTATTATTGATTTTTATGGATTTGCTGCTGTGATTTTCAGTTTTTATCTTTTGAAAAAGCTTTTGCATATCTGGGACCTACTGTATATGATGGAATGACTGGGGAAGATCTTCTGCATTGTATCACTCACTTGAGCCATAACCCCTCACAGCCTCCTTTCTGTCTTCCATTCTCTTTTGAAACTGTCCTCATAAGCAGAGTGCCTAGTTTTTCTTAACATAGTTATTAAATTAATTTGTGGGCCATGGGATTTAGTAATTACAAAGTCTTTATTCTGTTCCTTCTTTCCATAAGGTTTGATACTTTCATTTACATTATCTTTTTGAAATTCCCTTCATCCTCGGGATCCTTGTAGTATGCTTCTGCCAATTTCTGTGAACATTTTTGAATTCCTTTCCCCTCAAAAGGTTATTCTGGATCCTTTGCCTGTGAACTTCTGTGTTCTCTCTCCTTAAGAAATGTCAGCTACATCCAAGACTTCTGCTATCAACACCATGCTGATGAATTCCAAATGATTTATTTTCTTTAATCCCAAGTTTCAGACTCACATTTATGACTGGGCATCTTTTAGACATAATGAATTCAGCATGCCCCAGAATGGCTTTTTCATTCTCGTTGCCCGAGATAACTTCTCTTTTGGAGTTTCCTCTTTTAATGACAAAAGCATGTAATTATTCTAGTCTCTTTATTCAGTATTGGTCTCATTATAAAATTAGAAGCCAGATATAAAGACTCTACCCTTTTCAGTATCTCATCACCTTCACAATCATCCCTTCCTTTACCATTCCAACATCATGATTATTTTTCCTCTGGATTGCTTTAATACTCATCTAATTAGGCTTGTCACTTCTTGCTGCAATCAGTCCTACCAGGCAAATCGTCCCAAAGCATCACTCTAGTATATCACTCTCATACTCTAATGTTAAAAGTAGATTGCCAGTGCCTGCATATGTGATAGTATGTACACCTTCACCTGTCATTCAGAGTTCTCTAGATCATGACCTCAACCTACTTCTCCATCTTTTTATCCTTTTATCTGCATTAACCATACCTAAAACAACTAAATATTTGCCTTCCTTCTGTGTAACCTTCTCTTTCCTTCTCTCTACCCTCCTCTTTTTCTTCAAGTTATTAATGTCCTAGTTTCTTCTGTTGATTTTTGTTTTCATCTCTTATATTTTACCTTTGCTCAAATTCTTGTTTCAGAATGTATCATGTAGATAATACATAATGCTTGAATTGAATTCAGGAAATTTGTCCAAAGATATTCAACATCTTAGAAATACATGTAAAAACATTTTTGTGATATACAAAATATTTGCTTATTGATTTTGCTTGATGTATTTTAGTATGCTGTTAAATAACAGGTATATGATCTTTTAAAAATAACTTGTTATTTTTTCAGTTATACTCCATGGGGATTATAATTATTATATTTATGGGATACTTCCACAGACTTTATTTTATCTCTTTTGAAATCATTTAAAAACTATAATACCAATTTCAGCTTTAGTCCAAAAAGAGAAATAAAAAGGCAGATTTACCAAAGAATAAACAGTGTTGTTATAGTGTCTTAAATTGTCTCTGCCTAATTTCTTCCTTACCATCTTTATGTGTACCTCAAGCATTGTATAGTCAGGACAGGACTGCATTCATTACTGCTGCTTTGGAATTACATGACTGTAAGAAATTATCTGGCTAGTTTCCTGTTCAGTCTCTGGAACCCTCTTATTCCTTTCTTTGATGAAACTGATCTAACCACATTTATGAGTTTTTCACAGTTTGGCTCATGTTATATACCATATGGGAATTTGGCACAGGATCTTTGCACCATCTCTCATACTTTAAGCCATAAATCATATAAAACTAATAATGATATCTTAGGAAGCATAGAAGCAATGATGCCTATAATTTCCAAAGTGGAAAACACATTCAATCCTTCTGCCCTAGACAAATGTGTTTCTTACAGTGTTATGATCCTAGCCTATATTTGGCATTGTTATATGAAAATACCTGAAATATTCTCCAAGAATCATATAAAAACAGAAGATCAATCTTTTCTTCCATCACAATCATTAATGGCTAGTTGGGAAACATAAAAGTAAGGATATGCCACAGAAATCAGAAAAAAAGGTTAAGAGTCAGTATGATCCTTATATTTTAGTATGTTCAAGGTTTGTTACTTTAAATGAATTAATGATTCTTTTGTTTATTTGAGTATATAATATATACATTTTTATTATACTTATTTGAGTTATTTTGGATTTGTTTTTCTCTTTTAACATTTAGACTTGCTTGAAAAATGTAATATTATTTTTCATTGTGATTATGATAGCATATAGAGAAATTTTATTTATTTATTTTTATTTTTTGAAATGGATTCTCACACTGTTGCTCCTTATGAAATGTCAACTACATTCATGACTTGAAGTGCAGTGGTGCAATCTTGGCTCACTGAAGCCTCTGCCTCACAAGTTCAAGTGATTCTTGTGCCTCAGCCTTCCAAGTAGCTGGAATTACAGGCATACTCCACCATGCCTAACTAATAAGAGTATATATTTTTTTGTATTTTTACAAAATATATTTTTAATAGAGATGGGGTTTCACCATGTTGGCCAGGCTGGTCCAGAACTCATGATGTCAAGCAGTCTGCCTGCCTTGGCCTCCTAAAATGTTGGGATTACAGACATGAGCCAAAGTGCCCAGCCAGCATAAAGAGAAATTTTAAAGGGGTGGTTTTTATTTTGAAAATTTAGTTACTCATTTCATCATCTTGCCAGTTATGTGGGTTCAGTAGGTTACTTTTTCTTCTCCTTCATTTTTCTGACAATGATTTTATCTGAATTATAGTTGTATTTTAGGATCTAGCTTAAAAAATCATTTATCTGGATTCAAATATACTTTGATTCTTTAAATCACAATTTGACCAATTAGAAGCTCTATTAGTCTTCACCCTCCATTGTGTTCCCTATCACATATATTGCAAAGCAAAATTTGGGTGGTATACAGTGCTTCCCTCCTCCCGCTATAGGATACATGTTTAGATGTACTGAACCTTGGATCCTAGAGCTGGCACTACTTGCTTGACGATGGAAGTGAGTATGGAGGGGTTTTGCCCTGATGACGTCATAAAGAAGCTCCTGGGGGACAGGTGTGTATCTGTTCAAATAAAGGATTTTTTTTTCTGACCTTTTACATAGACTTCCAGGGATGAAACTTTAGAGGCTTATGAGGAAATCTAGTCACAACTTCTCCTGGAATAATTCCTTTTGGGCCTTAATGTCTCATCAATTCTTTTTCAAATTCTGGGCCATGACTGCTGTGTGGGTCTTGAAATCAGTTTACTGAGTGATGACTGGCCATTAAAAAATAGAATAGAAAATAGAGTACAGGGTCATTCAATAAAATAATACATGTGTTTGTGTGTGTGTGTGTGTGTTCAGTTTTGGAGTCAGAATTACTTATCTAGTCGTAGTCAAACAAGATAAAAGGCAATACAGTTCACTCTGCCTGGGATAAATTTTATTAGACCTTAAAGTAAGAAGTTTTTCCCCACAAATATGGTTTAGATTCTAATTATTATTATTATTTTATTTTTATACTTTAAGTTTTAAGATACATGTGCAGAAGGGGCAGGTTTGTTACATAGGTATACACATGCTGTGGTGGTTTGCTGCACACATCAAACTGTCATCTACATTAGGTATTTCTCCTAATGCTATCCCTTCCCTATTCCCCTACCCCTCAACAGGCATTGGTGTGTGATGTTCCCCTCCCTTTGCCCATGTGTTCTCATTGTTCAACTCCTACTTATGAGTGAGAACATTCAGTGTTTTGTTTCTGTTCTTGTGATAATTTGCTGAGAATGGTGGTTTCCAGTTTCATCCTTGTCCCTGGAAAGGACATGAACGCATCCTTTTTTATGGCTGCATAGTATTCCATGGTGTATATGTGCCACATTTTCTTTATCTAGTCTATTGGTATTTGGGTTAGTTTCAAGACTTTGCTATTGTGCACAGTGCCACAATAAATCGATGTGTGCATGTGTCTTTATAGTATAATGATTTATAATCCTTTGGGTATAGAACATCATGAATTACATTCTAAAATCAAAATATATGGTTTATTTATTTATTTATTTATTTATTGATCTCAACTGGCTCATTAAATTTTTCTGCCACTTTTTTATCTGCATTTATTTATTTATTTATTTATTTATTTATTTATTTTTTATTGCATTTTAGGTTTTGGGGTACATGTGTAGAACATGCAAGATTGTTGCATAGGTACACACATGGCAGTGTGATTTGCTGTGTGGTTTAAGTTTATCATAGTGAAAAAAAAAAGTTCTTCACAATTTCCTGGAAAGATGTTATCTTGGAGACTGAGAGATGTTCACTCAACAGAGTACAGCCACTCTTTCCTTTAGCTTTTGCATAAGGTTACTCTTCTTTTGTGATGCTGCAGGAGAGATAGTGCCCATTCATTTAAGGTATTGCTGTATTATACAAAATCACAAGCTGCACACATTATGAGGGACATGCAGGATTTGAACCTGACAGAAGGAACCACAGATACAGGTCACTATCCAAAGCTTATTTAGCTAATGGCAAATTGCTTACCTGATTTTAATTGTTCTTTTTCTTCAGTTGATGATGAGATAGCAATGTACAATTTAAAACAATTTTTTTTACATTTTTTTCTTTATTGAGGCATAATGATGAGTGAAATTTGTATATGTTTGTGGTGTACAATGTAATGTGTGTGTGTGTGTGTGTGTGTATATGTATACACACACACACGCACACACACACATTATGAAATGATTACCACCTAATTAACATATTCATTATTTACATATTATCTCTTTTGTAGTGAAAGCATCCAAAATCTATTCTGTTAATTTTAAGGGTTCTCACTACTAAAAAAGGATAAGCATGTGAGATAGTGGATATGTTAATTAGCTTGATTTAGCCATTTCAC